AGGTTCCCTACCAGCCCACCTGCACATGGCACACAGGAGCACCACAGAGCTCCTCCAGCCTCCCAGAGACCCATGGCACAGCTGGGAACACAGGCAGTGTGTCAAAGCTCCAGAAGGCAGGCAGGGAAGGCAGCAGCCAGCCCTTACCTTGGAGTCGTGGGAGCTGAAAACGCTGGGGTCGTCGGTGCTGCCCACCATGATCTTGTGCGGGTGCTCCTTGGCGGGGTGGGAGGCACCGGAGCCGTCGGAGCGGTGGGACTTGGAGCCATGGCGCTCCCCAGACACCCGCTCGCTCGTGGTGTTCCCCATGGCAGCTCAGCAGCCCCTGGGACAGAGACACAACACGGCTCTGCCTTTGCCCACGGGCTCTGGCAGCACGGACAGGAGCACAAGAGCTGTCTCCCAAATGTTCCTTGCCAGTGGAGACCAACAGCAACCCTCAAAAAGGCCCCAAGTTCATTTCCACTACCAAGTTTGGGAGCTGAATGGGAATTCAACAAACAAGACAGCTTGACCTAATTATAGCCTCAAGAACCATCACTCTAGTTAAGCTGGTAATTGTTAAGACTCCAAAACCAATACAACTTCACCTGTGTCCTGCATCAGCCCTAGGCAGCCAACAGAGTAGAGCTGATGGGAAAAATAAAGCCAACCTTTATTGGCAAATCAACTGCCTGGCGTTAAACAGAGCCTCTTTCACAGTCCTGCAGTCAGGCTCCACAGACAACCCCCGACACCCAGCAAGAAAACAGCCAGCGAGTGAAAGTAGCAGCTGTTTTACAGTCCCCAGCAAGTCTCCAAGAGCTCGCAGGCAGAAGAGCAGAGCCTTGTGCCTGCAAAGGCGACAGGGAGCATTTAAAGTGTCCGAATGGAATCGCCCAGGCTGGAGCTTGTCCAAGGAGCAGGGCTAATGCTGTGGTGTCTGCAAAAAGCTCAGCTCTCAGCAGCATTCACTTATGATTCACCAGGCAAGTCACTGTGTCAGCTGCAGCACAGCACACAGAGCAGGACCATTTGTTGTGACCTAGCCAGCACCTGCCTGGCTGTCTGGAGGGACACGGTGAGGGAAGGGCAGCCCTGGCCGCCTCAGCGTCCCTCTGCAGCCACCATCCCATTCTCACCCAGCTCAGAGAAAGCAAAACAGGAGAACTGACCAAGCCATGGACAACTACACACCTTTTAGGATAAACAACAAAGCCACTGCAAGCTACACAGGACTCTTCAGGCCTTACCCTCTTTCCAGGAGCTGAGATGGATTGGGGCTCTTGCCCACTTCCAGGCTTATTCTGCAGCTTTTAGCTTACCGAGGGCTCTACAGAGCAAGCAAGGAGACAGCCAGCCTTGCTTCATGTGCTCACTTGTGACATTTGGAGGTCTGTTTAAAAGATCAAGTTATACCAAGGGTGCCAAGCCAGGCTGCCAGCCAAAGCCAGGCTTTAGAACATTATGGAGCAATTACTACACTATTTCTTAAACCCTGAGGGCTAAAAGGCAGCTTAAGTGGGCAGCTAATCCATACTCCCACCCCTTTCAGTGCAGATCAAGTATACCTTGAGGATAGGTCAGATCCAGGTCAGATGAGCTACACCTCTTGCTCTGACATCTTCCCAACCTGCTCTGAGGATCTCAGACAGCTCTTCACAAAAACTGCCCCTGTACCACCAGACCTGCTGCTGAGGAGTTTCCTCTCCAGTATCTCCACTAAGGCTGCCTTATTTATCTACAGGGAGAAAGGTGGGAAAGGCTGAACTTCCCTTGTAGCTGGACAGACCTGAGAGATATGTGCAGGTGTTAACAAGTGTGAAGGTGTTTCTCTTCTCTACAAGGATTCCAGTTCCTCTGTCCCTTACACGTCACACTCTCCAAACACTCCCTGAGGTTTATCCCAAGCCGTGGCTCCTGTGTGGGATGTGCCATCTGAATCCCCTGCATCACACACACGGGCAGCCTGCAGTACCCGGCTTTGCTGAATTAACTTTTACAGCTCAAACCCTCCTGCATGCAGACCAGCCCTCTGGGGTTGTAGCACTGGGAAGTGGTGTGACACAGCTACACCCAAGTCAAGGATGGAAACGCTGCCCACACCAGAGCCCCAGAAAACCTCCACGGCATCGCAGCACATCCACTCCCAGCCTGGCAGCAAGCCCCTGCCAGCCACAGCCCACAGCAAGGTGGGTACCTGCCTGCCCCGTCACCGGGGCCCTTCGATTCCAGCCACCCCACCTTCCCACTTGGAAAACGGCAAATTAATTATATCCATTCCCCTCCCTGGGATGTGCCAGGCTTGCTGCCTCTGTCGCCGGGACAGTGACCTCGCCGGGAAGCACTGGCAGGGTAGCCCGAGGGGGTTTGTGCAGGAGAGATGGGGTCTGTGCATCAGCACTGGGAGCACTGGCAGGCATTCCCAGCCGGTTTTCAGGGAGGGATGGGGTCTGTGCAGCAGCACCGGGAGCACTGGCAGGCATTCCCAGCCGGTTTTCAGGGAGGGATGGGCTCCAGAATCTGGCCGGGCTGACACCGCCCGGGGCTGGCGTGACCCGATCCGCCCGGGCTCTCCCCCTTTCGGAGACGGGAACCAGAGCTGAGCCCTGAGTTTGTGAGGTGAAGGGGATGAGCTGGGAAAGCGGGGGCGGAAAATCTCCCTCCGAGCAGGCAGGGCTGGGGCAGGGCTGGGGCTCTGCTCGGCGGGGCTGTCACGGCGGGCTCGGCCCACAGGCACCCGCGGGTCCGCCGTGCCTCGGGGGAGGAGCGGGACACACCGGCAGGGGCCGGGCCCTCCTCAGGGGCTGCCACACGGGGTCTGCACCGCTGCGGGCTCCGGGACACCGCCACACCGCGGGGAAGCCTCACCCACCGCCTCCCGGGGAGCCGCCACCCTCACACCCACCAGCGACACCCGCCCCGCCGTCCCCGGGCCCGGCCGGCCCGACCCCACCTGCCGCCGCCGCCGCCGCCGCCGCCGCCGCCGCCGCCGCCCCGCTCTCCGCCTCCGTCCAAGATGGCGCCACCCCCCGCCGGCCGCTGCGGGGCGCTCTGAGCCGCCCCCGCCCCGCTCCGCGGCCCCGCCCCGCCCCCGGCCCGCGGCCCCGCCGCCGGGCACCGCCATGATGGCTGCGGGCACGGCCCTCAGCATGGACCTCACAGACGGGCACGGTGGTCTCCGGTCCCCGCGGCACGGGGACAAGCTTTATTGCTTTATTTCCCTCTCCCAGTTTCACCACCACCTCTGTGACCTAACCCATAGATAGAGCTCGTGGGGCTGACGGGCCGGGATTTCGGGAGATGTTCCCAGAGCAGCCCGTGACCAGGCTTGGTAGCACAGCGAGAAGGCGCAACAAAGCAGGGTGCACCTTCAAGGAAGGACTCCCTCCGTGCTCCGGCACAACTAGTGAGAGACCACAGACACGAGCCCAAAGGAAAAGGAGCGGATTGCCGGCAGGACCCGCCGGTCTCCTTCCCTTTAGGTTAAGGAGAGAGCGAGACGTAGATGAGGGTGGCTGCAATCATGGCGATGCTGAAGAGCACCGTGAGGGTGTGGGGCGCGGCGCTGGAGCGGGCATGGCGGCAGGCCTGTGGCTGCAGGGCCCTGACCACACGCTGCTGCTGGGTGAGGATGGCCTCCCTGGCACCGGCCCAGGCGCCAGGGCCCCGCAGCCGGTACTGGTACGGCGTGCAGGGACCAAAGGCCACCTCCACTGCCAGCTTGGGGTCTGTGAGGAACAGCGTGAGCAGGCTGGGCTTGACCCCCAGCTGGCAGGCGAGCTCGTCCATGTAAGGGATGTAATCCACCTGGATGGTGTGCCGCTGGCTCTTCACATACCTGTGGGCAGGGAGGGCAGGGAGGTGCTGGAAGCAGAGCTGGCAGATGCCCTGCACACCAGGAAGGTGGTATTGGGCAGACTGGACTGTGGGTAGTGCGGCCAAGCACATCCCTGCCCTTGGCTGGCACACACAGATGTGCCAGGACATGCCTGGGACAGGATGGATGCCCATGAGCAGCTGAGCTGAAGGTGCTCCCACAGGGATCTTACCGTTTTGCCATGGCTTCTTTCTTCTGCTCAATGTCAGCCTCCATGTCTTGCCGCAGGGGCAGCTCACTCAGCCCTGGGGAAGATGAGACAGGACACTGTGGTGCTGCCCTTGCCTGGGTGCTGTGCCTCTGCCAGCACCAGCATGGTGTGTGCTCTGGCACCTGAGGCATGTCTGAGTGCCTCGGGATGGGAAGGAGCAGCCCGTGGAGCTCAGGGTGTGGATTGTGGCTGTCCCTGTGCCTCTCAGAGAAGAGGCCATCTCACCGTGACAGCTGCAAGGCAGCCATGCCATCACCGTGGCCAGGATGACATAGCTGGTTGTGCCTTCTCATCACTGCTGCCTTCTCATCTGCCCTCACTCCAGGGCTGCATCCACAGGGCAGGTTTGCCTGACTTACCTTTGAAGACACGGGTGGCCCAGCGACACTGGAGCTCGGAGATGGGCATGATGGCACCCAGGGGCTGGACGAGGCCGATGAAAGCCAGTGTTGGTTTCTCCAGGTCAGGGGGGAACACGTATTTGTAGAGGGGAATCTGGTTCTCCACCACCTTGAAGCCCTCAAGGAATGGGAAGGAGAAGCTGTATCCCGTGGCAAAAACCACAGCATCAATGTCTTCCCTGGTGCCATCCTCAAAGATGGCAGATGTCTCTGTGAACTCCTGGACGTTTGGTTTCACCATCACCCTGCCCGAAATGATGCGGTTGGGCAGATCATCGTTGATGGTGGGGTGCTGCTCTAGGATCCTGGAAGGCACAGGCAGACCTCACTCAGGTCCTGGCAGAGGGATGGGCATTGCTGGAGCAGGTACCTGGGTGCTGCTGGGGTGCTCACCGGTGCTTGGGCTTTAGGCCGTAGAGTGTGTGGTCAAAGCGGGCATTCAGCTTCCACTCCAGGAAGAAACTGATGATGTTTCGAGGCAGCAGGTTCTGGAGGAGCTGTGTGAAGCGACTGATGTAGCTGAAATCAAACGGGTACCCGCTGTTGGCCAGCCGGTGCAGCACCCAGGACCCACGCCTGGTGCTGAGGAAAACCTGGAAGGAAGGTGAAGAGGGGTGGTGGCACGGCAGCATCCTCAGCCTGGGCTGGGCCCCTGGTGTGCTCCAGGGACAGGGAAGCCAGCACAGCTGCTGGGACCAGAATGGCCATCCCCACAGAGAGGGGATAGGGTGCTTGTGGCCGGGTGCTGAAGGGAGGGGAGCCCACAAGGATGGTGGGGGATAATCGGTGCCGTCTGGGGTCCCATCCCCGTGAGCTCTCCCAGCACACCTGCTTGGCTGCATGGCTCAGCTCCACTGCAATGTCGATGCCTGAATTCCCAATGCCAACCACGACCACCCGTTTTCCCAAAAAGGGCTGAGGGCTCTTGTAGTCCCGGCTGTGCAGGTAGCAGCCCTCAAACTTTTCCAGCCCTGGAAGAGAGAGGGAAGTCATGCTGGGCTGGTATGTGGAGCAGGAGGGTGGCTGCTCCCTGCTCAGACTGGTTTTGGGAAGAAGCTAGGACTAGTGTGACCAACAGGAGTTATGCAGCCCTGGGTTAATGCCCAGAGAGGTGGTGGCAGCACCAGCGTGGAAGATTCTCAGCATAGCTCTGAGCATCCTGCTTTGGCTTTGGGAGTAGCCCTGCTTGGAGTAGGGCTTGGACTGGAGAATTCCATGCTTCCATCCCAAAATTCTGCTGCAGGTGCTGTCTGGTGTCATGTATTGCCAGTAGAGGAACAACCAGGATCTGTGCCATCTCGCCAGACCCTGTGTGACAGCGTGCTCCAGCCTGTTCCCCAGCCAAAGAGGATCTCCACAGCTGAAAGCTCTCCAGGCATCCAGAGGCAAGACCACCACCAGTGCTGAGCCCTCCAGCCTTGGTGAGGAGCTGGAGAGCCCACAGGTGCTTGGCCAGCAACATGGAGAGGGAGCATGTCTCAGGTGGGAGAGGCACGCCGGCATTGGTGACATCTGCCAGCAGGATCCTTTGGACACTCATGGAATCCCACCTAAAAAGGGCATTTAGGGATGTCAGGGAGCAGGCGAGCAGCCCACAGGGCAGTACCTGGGAAGGAGCTGAGCGGGAGATGTGCGTCAGTGTGGTGCCCACTGCACACCAGCACGGCGTCGAAGACGGCCGCCTCCTGCTTGCCCTCGCTCTCCGTCAGCACCTCCCACTGCCCGCTGCTGCCGAAGTCGGGGCGCTTGGACACGCGGCACACGCTGGTCTGGGCGCAGGGCGAGCGCTGTCAGGCACCCTGTGTGTGCCCCCCGCTGCCGCTGCCACCTCCCCCTCGGGCCCAGCTCTCACCCTGAAGCGGATGTGGCGCAGCAGGTCGAAGTGCCGGGCGTACATGCGGAAGTATTCCATGATCTTGGAGTTGTGCATGTAGTTGGGGAAGTCGTCGGGGATGGGGAAGTCGCTGAAGCACATCATCTCCTTGGAGGTGTTGATGATGACGGAGCGGTAGATGCTGGCACGGCCGTCCTCGGGGTGCTCCTGTGGGAGCAGGGCACAGCTCAGTGCTGGCCAGGGAATGATGGGGAAGGATGGCTGCCCTGTCTGGCACCTCGCCCGTGGGTGGAGGATTAGGCCACAGGTCATTGTAGCACTCATCCCTGCATCCAGCACTCTCCTGTGGTTGGGACCCCTCCACTCCAAAAAACAGGGATGTAACTAGCTCTGGACTGGTGGGAGCCGGGCAGTGTGGACAGTGGGTCATGGTGGTCTTGTGCCTCAGTTTCCCCACGTCCACTCCTTGCCCCTATGAGGTAGTGCATTCCCAAAGCTCCTGTGGTGTTGTTGCCCTGGCTGCCATATCAGGTCTCGCCGGTTGTGAAGCCAGCTCCAGTGCTTTCTGCTGAGTGGCTGCTCCTGCTTATCAGGTCTGTGCCTCGGCAACTGGATGCTGCTGCTCTGGTCCTGCTCCACCAAGCCTGTCCTTGACCCATCACAGGCAGAACTAGCGGACTGTGACAGATCCACCCTAGACTCCACTCTTGCATGGTGCCACCTGTGTCCCCCCAGGGCTCTCCCACACGCGTATCAGGGCATAGTGGGAACACTGGTCATCTTGTTGGTGGGTGCGTGGGATAAAAGTCAGCAGCCTCATTAGGTGGGGGCAGAGACGAGCTCCAGGATTGTTCCAAGGCAGGGCAAGCCAAGACAGAAAAGGCAGCACGTGGTGTCTCTGTGTGGGCGACTGCCACAGAAGCAGAAAGAAGAGCAACCATGATTTCAGGAAAGGGCTGGGTGGGACAGGGATGGGGACAGGCAGTGGGGTCAGATAGGACAAGATAGGTAGGAAAGGGCTGTGAGCAACCAAAAGCAAAAGAACAGAGCAAAGTGTGAATGAGACTGGGAAGGGAGGGATGGGAAAGGGGAAGTCTGAGCTGGGAGAGCAAGCCATGGAGTGAAGTCCCTGGGGAGGCTTCATCCTGCTGCTGGTGAGGAGGAGTTGGTTTCTATGTGCCTGGCACACCAGCTGGCACTATGCTGCCAAATCAGTTTTACTTTCCTGTGGTTTTCCTTGTAAACCTGCCTGCTGCACGCACGCCAGCCAGGGGAACTTTGGTATGTGTCGGTGTCTGCCAAGGACCGATCCCACGCCCATCCGTGCTGCTGCCACGGAGCAGCCTGGCTGCGCGGGGCTTACCTCGAAGCGCCAGAGGCCCCCGATGTCCTTGCTCCTCTCAAAGCAGGTGGGCTCCAGCCCCTCCTCCAGGCAGCATTTCAGGGCACACAGGCCAGAGGCACCAGCACCGATGATGGCTACTCTCCGGGCAGCCATGTCCCCCGGTGTGGTGGTGGCAGGGCTGCTGGACAAGCTGTGGCCAGGAGTACAGAGCCAGGTGTGTCCCCCAAGGGAGGCTGCCTGGTGCTGCTCAGTTTAGGAGTGGCTATCCTTGTGCTTCCTGTGGGTGGCTGAGGTGTCACAAGAGGTGTTCCTTCCAGACATGATCTACAGGTTCCCCCCACCACCCTGCCACACCTCCTGGATTGCACCTGCCTTCTGCAAGAGGCACATTGAGTTCTGTAAGTGTTTCATGATGCCGACATTGTCTCGGGACTTCCCGAGCAGGGCAGAGATGTGGCTGTGCTTCAGATTTCAGCAGGTTGTGGCACAGAAAACAAACCTGGGGGATGAGGGGCTGGATGATCAGCCCAGGCGTGTGATGAACAGCACCCCCATCCTTTACCCACTCAGGGTCCACAGCCTGCCCAGCCACCTTCCAGAGGGGCCGCATGCAGGTGACCAGGGTGGCACTGAGCCATGCCACTGTGACCACCAGACCCGCTGCAGTGGCACACACCTTGAGAGAGACTGCCTTGCTGTGGAAGGTGTGTGTACATCAGCCCATGCTGTAGTGGGCCAGCACTATGAGGCTGATCTCAAACCAGTGAGCATTCCCACAGCACATGGAGGGTCGTGATGGTGTCAGTAACAGGACAGACACTTGGCTGTTTAATGCATTTATCCACTTAGAAAGTGTGCTGTGCTTTTACTGCATAGCTCTGGTGAGCGTGTGGCAAAATTGGCACGGCTGGGTTACAGGGGCAGAAAAACCCGGAGCGCTGGCTGAGACAGATTGGAATTTAGCCTGCAGCGAGTAGGTTTCCTCCTCTGTCCATGATGGCACTCCCCAAGGGGAGGTGCAGAACGGAAGCCTAAGAATTATTTTGGCAGCTGGGGAGGTTCAGTGCATCCCTAGCTCCTGGTGTGGTCACAGCTGGGCCGTGCCAGGCAGGAGGAAGGTTTCTGCCACCACTGGGGTGCACAGGCTGACAAGGGGAAGGGGTGGCCAGCCAGTCCCACAGCACAGTGCAAAGCCTCCCTTCCTGCACTTGCAGGGAACCTACAAGTAAGCAAAAACAGCTGCCAGGATAGCCACGGCCCCAACCAGCTTGAAGATGAGGGGCAAGGCAGGGGCTGAGGTGCTCTCTTCCACATGTCGTGTCTGCAGGGGCTTGAGGATGCGCTGCTGCTGGGTGAGGATGGCCTCCCTGGCACCGGCCCAGGCGCCAGGGCCCCGCAGCCGGTACTGGTACGGCGTGCAGGGACCAAAGGCCAC